GTCCTGTCCTGTCTCACTTCTCCACTGTCCTCCCGTGTCCGGCGGCTCCCTCTGGCACCCTGTCTGGTCTCTACCTCCCCTCGTTCTCTACGAACCTGGTGAGTGGTGCTGACCTACAGGATGGGGGAGTACACCAGTTCACTCCTGCGCATCAGCGGGTGACGCAAGGCACAGAGGCTAGCACAGGCCGACACCTGGCTACGTTTACCCGTCGGCCAGGGTCGAGCCTGTACACACTGACCACTGCGTCTCCCCCGGTTGCTGCGTCTGGTAGGGTAGCTGCGTCGGGTCAGGTGTTTGCTGCAGCGTCCAGGTCTGGTCCTGAGTCTGCCCCCTGTTCGTGTCGTCTCTTGTCTCACGAGACTCTCCTCTGGCACCACCGCCTTGGTCACCCCTCTCTGCTTTGGCTCAGAGGCATGGCCTCCCATCTTCTTGTTTCTGGTCTCCCCCGGTCCCTTCCTCCCCTTCCTCAGACCCTGGCCCAACCTGTGTCCCCTGTGTCGAGGGGCGCCACCGGGCTGCCCCTCACTCCTCCCAGTTTCCTCCGACAGAGGCCCCGTTGCAGACGCTTCACATGGACGCGTGGGGCCCAGCCCGCGTCCGTGGACAGGGTCACGAGCGCTACTTCCTGCTCGTTGTTGACGACTACTCGCGTTACACCACAGTCTTCCCCTTGCGCAGCAAGGGTGATGTCACTGAGGTGCTGATCGACTGGATCCGCGCAGCTCGTCTCCAGCTCAGGCAGAGCTTTGGCTCGGACTTTCCAGTTCTGCGTCTGCATTCGGACAGAGGCGGAGAGTTTTCTTCTGGCCTTCTGAGAGCCCACTGTCGCGCACGAGGAATCCGTCAGACCTCCACGCTTCCAGACTCCCCGCAACAAAATGGGATTGCTGAGCGCCGCATTGGCATGGTCATGGACATCGCTCGTACGCCTATGATGCATGCGGCTGCTCCCCATTTTCTGTGGCCGTTTGCGGTGAGGTACGCGGCGCATCAGATCAACCTACACCCCAGGGTCTCCAGGCCGTAGACCTCCCTAGCCTTGCTTTGGACGGGGAAGGTTGGCGATGCGTCGGCGTTCCGGGTCCGGGGATCTCGGGCGTTTGTCCGCGACCTGTCTGCGGACAAGCTGTCCCCTCGTGCTGCTCCTTGCGTCTTCCTGGAGTTCCCCCCTGACGCGCCTGGGTGGAAGTTCTACCACCCCACCTCTCGCCGTGTTCTGTCCTCCCAGGACGTCACGTTTGACGAGTCGGTCCCCTACTACCGCCTCTTCCCCTACCGCACTCCGTCCCTCCCCCTGCCGCCGCTCTTCCTTGTACCAGGTCCCCCTCCGGTAGACCCCCTCCCCCCTCAGGGTCCGTCCCCTTCAGGTGTGTCCCAGGTAGACGCAGTCGAGCCTGTCGAGGTCACTGGTGACTCTGGTGCTGCTGAGGGTGCTGAGCCTGGGGGTGCTGACTCTGGGGGTGCTGAGCCTGGGGGTGCTGAGCCTGGGGGTGCTGCGCCTGGGGGTGCTGAGCCTGGGGGTGCTGAGCTTGGGTGTACTGCGACTAGGGGTGCTGAGCCTGAGGGTGCTGAGTCTGGGGGTGCTGCGCCTGGGGATGCTGAGCCTAGGGGTGCTGAGCCTGGGGGTGTTTAGCCTGGGTGTGCTGAGCCTGGGGGTGCTGAGCTTGGAGGTGCTCCGCTTGGAGGTTCTCCGGGTGCTTCGTCTCTGCGGGAGCCACTCTCTCCACGGGAGCTGCGCGAGAGGTTTGCCCTGCGGTGGAGGCGTGCTGCTGGTGCTGGAGGTTCTTCGGCTACTGAGGGTGCTGCTGTCGCGGGTCCCGGTCGTGCTCGTCCTGGGAGTACTAGAGCTGCTAGGCCTGCGGGTTCGACTGGAGTTGGTGCTGCTGAGGGTGTTGGAGCTGAGACTACTGCTGGCGGTCCTACTGCGGGTACTCCTGGTACTGCTAGAGGTTCTGGCGCTGCTGGTGGTGCAGCTGGAGCGAGTGCTCCTGCTGGGTCTACTGGTGCTGTACCTGCTGTGTCTGGCGTCGCTGTGCGGCATCGATTGTACTTCGTTCCACTCCTGCAGCAGGTTCTTGGTCTTCCGCCTTCTACTGGTCCTCCTCCTTCTTTAGAGTGTCCACAACCAGTCCCGTCACAGTTAGAGTTGCAGCCTACCTCCCCTTTGCCTGCTCCTTCTCCCTACACTGGTCCTACTGGAGGTCTTACTGAGCGTCGTGAGCCTGCGTCTCGCCCTGCATCGCCTGTCCGTGCTGCTCGCGCTAGTGGTCGTGGTTCACGTCAGCGTCCTCCTCCTGTCCCTGGCACGCACAGGATGTCTCTGCGTCCGTCCACTGCTCCTCTGCGTGCCCCTTTGCCTTCTCCTCCTGAGTCCTCTCTTCCTGCACTAGCCGACCCGGAGTCGGACTCTCTTCGTGCTGCCAGTCCTACTGTCACGCGTCTCCTGGCTACTGTCGTCACTGACCCTTCTTTCGAGTCCACTGCTACGTCTGCCCTAGTTGCTGAGCTCGTCGACTTTGCTGCTCGCTGTCGCCTAGACTACGCTGCTAGTCTTTTCGCTGAGTCTGAGTGTGTCTGTCCTCCGTCCGTCGGGGGTGAGTGTGCCCTTTGCACGGACGTCCTTGAGGACAGGCAGGAGGAGTTCCAGTGCTTGGCCGCTGCTTCACCTTATCTCGTGTCCGTACTGCTTACCCCTGAGGGAGACCCGGATGCACGAGACATCCCGACTCCGCGCTCTTACGCGGAGGCGATAGAGGGTCCCTACTCTTCTCAGTGGCAGGCAGCTATGGATGCACAGATGGCTTCCTGGAAGTCCACAGGCACCTACGTTGACGCTGTCCCCCCTCCTGGGGCGAACATCGTCAGTGGCATGTGGATCTTCAGGGTGAAGCGGCCGCCGGGTTCTCCGCCTGTCTTCAAGGCGCGTTACGTGGCTCGTGGCTTCAGTCAGCGGCAGGGAGTTGACTACTTTCAGACCTTCTCTCCCACCGCGAAGATGACCACTCTTCGGGTACTGCTGCACGTTGCTGCTCACCGTGACTACGAGCTGCACTCTCTCGACTTCAGCACAGCTTTCTTGCAGGGCAGCCTGCACGAGGAGATCTGGCTGCGCCGCCCACCTGGCTTCACTGGGTCTTTTCCTCCTGGTACCCAGTGGAGTCTCCGGCGTCCAGTCTATGGTCTCCGCCAGGCGCCACGTGGGTGGCACGACACACTGAGGACTACGCTTGCGGCTCTTGGGTTTGCTCCTTCTACTGCCGACCCGTCACTGTTTCTGCGCACCGACACTTCTCTGCCGCCGTTCTACATCCTCGTGTACGTCGACGACTTGGTCTTTGCCACAGCTGACACTGCTGGACTCGCCTACGTGAAGTCCGAGCTGCACGTGCACTGACCTGGGTGAACTGCGCAGCTACCTTGGCTTGCAGATCACCCGGGACAGAGCACGCCGCACCATTACCCTGACTCAGTCACACATGGTGCACCAGGTCCTTCAACGCTTCGGCTTCACGTACTCCTCGCCTCAGGCAACTCCTCTGCCTACTCGCCAATCGCTCTCAGCTCTGTCTTCGGATGAGTCCGTAGAGTTGAGTGGCCCGTATCCAGAGCTTATTGGCTGTCTCATGTACCTGATGACCTGCACACAACCTGACCTTGCATACCCTCTTAGCATTCTCGCACGCTATGTTGCTCCTGGGAGACACCGACCAGAGCACATGGCTGCAGCGAAGAGGGTGTTGCGCTACTTGTGCAGTACGTCGGGCATGGGGCTAGTGCTTGGAGGGCGGAGTCCAGTAGTCCTCACTGGGCACGCGGACGCTTCTTGGGCTGACGACCAGGCTACGCAGCGGTCGTCACAGGGTTACACCTTCAGCCTTGGTTCCGGCTCTGTTTCGTGGCGGGCTACTCGCTCGTCTTCTGTTCTCGGCTCCAGTTGTGAGGCTGAGATCTACACGGGGGCCATGGCTGCACAGGAGCTTCACTGGCTCACGTACTTGCTGGCCGAACTTGGAGAGTCGCCTCGTTCTCCTCCGGTCCTGTACGTAGACAACAAGGCCATGCTGGCCTTGTGTCGAGAGCAGAGACTGGAGCACAGAACAAAGCACATTGCTCTTCGCTACTTCCTTGCTCGTGAGCTACAGCAGCGTGGTTAGTTGCGGCTTGCGTACGTGGCCTCTGAGGCCAACACTGCTGATGTGTTCACCAAGGCACTTGCGCCTTGTGATCATCAGCGCTTCTGCACCCAGCTGGGTCTTGTACCTATCTTGCCTCACTTGCTCACATCTTGACCTTGCTTGTACTGTTACATATATATATACCTGCTCTTGCTTGTCTAGCCTTATGTATATATGTACTCGTGCATGTGAACTGGCCTTGTGGCCTTGAACTTGTGCTCGGAATGTGTGGTGACTTTGTGATCCACCCTGAGCTTGCTTTGCTTTGCTTTGCTTTGCTTGACTGGTCTTTGTTGAGATACTAAGCATAGGTGGGCTTAGGAGCCATAGTTTAGTTAGGTTCTTAGAGATCGAGTTTAGAGTTGAGGAGAGTGTCGAGAAAGTTGGAAAGGAGAAAGAGTCGCTTCACTATAGGTTTGCAAGAACATATAGCAAAGGAAACAAAGAAGGTGCACCACCAAACAAAGTTTATAAAAACTACACTAACTACAGCTACAGGCAGTTACAGATATATTCTGACACTCCCCCATAATTGCCTGCAGCAGAAGCTAATGCAGAGACACCCCTTGAAGGGGTACACCAAGCGCAGCAGAAGGAGAGGGCAAGTGAGGAGGAGGGACTAAATGAGGAGAGGCTGCTGGCAGGTGAAGCTGCTGGCTCCAAGGTGGCTGCTTCCTGGAACCTTCCTCAGTCCCCCAACTCCCCCTTCCACACTCCTTGACAACCCTAGCACCTCTCCCCCAGCTCCCCCACACCCTCACACCCACCCCCCCGCAGCGGCAGCTGCAGCAGTGGGAGAGAAAGGAGGAGGAGGGAAGGGGATCACACACACCCATCACCCCCATACCCGCCACCCCCATAGCCTCCGTTCCACGGCTGCACGCGCAGCAAGGAGACGAAGAAGGGGGGGGGGGGGGCAGGGGCGACAGAGCAAAACAGAGCGCACGAGGGCGCGGGTAGCAGCAGGGCGCACGAGGGCGCGGGCAGCAGGAGAGCGCACGAGGGCGCAGACAGACCAGAGCGCACAAGGGCGCGGACAGCAGCAGAGCGGCAACGGGCAGCACAGGCACGGGCAGCAATGGGCGGCAACGGGCAGCACAGGCACGGGCAGCAACAGGCAGCACAGGCTCGGGCAGCAACGGGCGGCAACGGGCAGCACAGGCACGGGCAGCAACAGGCGGCAACGGGCAGCACAGGCACGGGCAGCAATAGGCAGCAACAGGCAACACAGGCTCGGGTAGCAACGAGCGGCAACACGCAGCACAGGCACGGGCAGCAACAGGCGGTTACGGGCAGCACAGGCACGGGCAGCAACAGGCAGCAACGGGCAGCACAGGCACAGGCAGCAACGGGCGGCATCAGGCAGCACAGGCACGGGCAGCAACAGGTAGTACAGGCACGGGCAGCAACGGGCGGCAACAGGCAGCACAGGCACGGGCAGCAACGGGCGGCAACGGGCAGCACAGGCACGAGCAGCAACAGGCAGCACAGGCACGGGCAGCAACGGGCGGCAACAGGCAGCACAGGCACGGGCAGCAACGGGCGGCAACGGGCAGGCCATGCGCGGGGCAGAAAATCGCCGTGCGCCAAAAATACGCCGCGCGCCCGAGGCGCGCGGCAGGACGATAGGCAGCGGAAGCAGGAAGGCAGCAGGAGGACGATACTTGCTCTGAATACCATGTTGAGATACTAAGCATAGGTGGGCTTAGGAGCCATAGTTTAGTTAGGTTCTTAGAGATCGAGTTTAGAGTTGAGGAGAGTGTCGAGAAAGTTGGAAAGGAGAAAGAGTCGCTTCACTATAGGTTTGCAAAAACATATAGCAAAGGAAACAAAGAAGGTGCACCACCAAACAAAGTTTATAATAACTACACTAACTACAGCTACTGGCAGTTACAGATATGTTCTGACAGTCTTGTGACCCCTTGTTCTCCCCCACTTTGCCTATGAGGGTGTGTCAAAACATATAGCTTGTGCTTATTGTGTAGGCTATAGTGGGGTAGCCCATAAGGGGTACAACCCAATTAGGGTTAGTACTTGTACTCAGTTCATTCCTAGTTCATTCATTCTCGTTTCAATCTTCTCAATCGGGACCCAAACACGGTCTTCAAAGGTCGCCAGCCGCCGCCGCCACTGCCAGTGATCGTTAATGGGGAACCCGAGTATGAAGTCGAAGCCGTTCTGGCGCACCGACGACGACGTAGCGGCACCTTGGAGCTCTTGATTCGTTGGAAAGGTTATGATCCTTCCGAGGATACCTGGTATCAGAACATTATAGCTTATACATTTGTGTAGGCTGTAGTGGGGTAGCCCATAAGGGGTACAACCTAATTAGGGTTAGTACTTGTACTTAACTGTGTGAAAGGAATGAACAGGAATGAATGAACTAGCAGTGAAATGAGTACAAGTAGGAAACCCTAGAATTGTGTACCCCCTATAGGCTAACCCACTGTAGCCTACACAAGCATAACATATATACTGTTTGACACACCCCCATAGGCAAAGTGGGGGAGAACAAGGGGTCACAAGACCAGTCAAGCAAAGCAAAGCAAGCTCAGGGTGGATCACAAAGTCACCACACAGTCCGAGCACAAGAGCAAGGCCAGAGGCCAGTTCACATGCAGGAGTACAGACATATATATAAAACTAGACAAGCAAGAGCAGGTATATATATGTCAAAGTACAAGTAAAGTCAAGAAGAGAGCAAGTGAGGCAAGATTGGTACAAGACCCAGCTGGGTACAAAAGCGCTGATGGTCGCAAGGCGCAAGTGCCTTGGTGAACACATCAGCAGTGTTGGCCTTAGAGGCCACGTAAGCAAGTCGCAACTGACCACGCTGCTGCAGCTCACGAGCAAGGAAGTAACGGAGAGCAATGTGCTTCGTTCTGTGCTCCAAGCGCTGCTCTCGACACAAGGCCAACATGGCCTTGTTGTCTACGTACAGCACTGGAGGAGAACGAGGCAGCTCTCCAAGGTCAGTCAGCAGGTAGGTGAGCCAGCGAAGCTCCTGTGCAGCTATGGCCCCGGCGTAGATCTCAGCCTCACAACTGGAGCCGAGAACCGAAGACGAGCGAGTAGACCGCCACGAGACAGAGCCGGAACCAAGGCTGAAGGTGTAACCCTGTGACGACCGCTGCGTAGCCTGGTCGTCAGCCCAAGAAGCGTCTGCGTGCCCAGTAAGGACCACTGGACTCCGCCCTCCAAGCACTAGCCCCATGCCCGACGTACTGCACAGGTAGCGCAATACCCTCTTCGCTGCAGCCATGTGCTCTGGTCGGTGTCTCCCAGGAGCAACATAGCGTGCAAGGATGCTCAGAGGGTATGCAAGGTCAGGTCGTGTGCAGGTCATCAGGTACATGAGGCAGCCAACAAGCTCTGCATACGGACCACTCGACTCTACGGACTCATCCGAAGGCAGAGCTGAGAGTGAGTGGCGAGTAGGCAGAGGAGTGGCCTGAGGCGAGGAGTACGTGAAGCCGAAGCGCTGAAGGACCTGCTGCACCATGTGTGACTGAGTCAGGGTAATGGTGCGGCGTGCTCTGTCCCGAGTGATCTGCAAGCCAAGGTAGCTGCGCAGTTCACCCAGGTCTGTGCACGTGTGTCTCTTCAGCAGCTCGGACTTCACGTAGGCTAGTCCAGCAGTGTCCGCTGTGGCAAAGACCAAGTCGTCGACGTACACGAGGATGTAGAACGGCGGCAGGGAAGTGTCGGTGCGAAGAAACAGCGACGGGTCAGCAGTAGAAGGAGCAAACCCAAGAGCCGCAAGCGTAGTCCTCAGTGTGTCGTGCCACTCACGCGGTGCCTGGCGGAGACCGTAGACTGGCCGTCGGAGGCTCCACTGGGTGCCAGGAGGGAAAGTCCCAGTGAAGCCAGGCGGACGGCGCAGCCAGATCTCCTCGTGCAGGCTACCCTGCAGGAACGCAGTGCTGAAGTCGAGAGAGTGAAGCTCGTAGTCGCGCTGAGCGGCAATGTGCAGCAGCACCCGAAGAGTGGTCATCTTCGGGGTGGGAGAGAAGGTCTGAAAGTAGTCAACTCCCTGCCGCTGACTGAAGCCACGAGCCACGTAACGCGCCTTGAAGACAGGCGGCGAGCCCGGCGGCCGCTTCACCCTGAAGATCCACATGCCACTGACGATGTTCGCCCCAGGAGGGGGAACCGCGTCAACGTAGGTGCCTGTGGACTTCCAGGAAGCCATCTCTGCATCCATAGCTGCCTGCCACTGAGAGGAGTAGGGACCCTCTACGGCCTCCGCGTAAGAACGCGGAGTCGGGATGTCTAGTGCATCCGGGTCTCCCTCAGGGGCTAGCAGTACAGACGCGAGACGAGGTGAAGCAGCGGCTAGACACTGGAACTCCTCCTGCCTGTCCTCTAGGACGTCCGTGCCAAGGGCACACTCACCCCCGACGGACGGAGGACAGGCGGACTCTGACTCAGCGACAAGACGAGCAGCGTAGTCTAGACGACAGCGCGCAGCAAAGTCGACAAGCTCAGTGACAAGGGCAGATGCAGCAGACGACTCGAAGGAAGGGTCAGTGACCAGGCTCAGCACCCCCAGGCTCAGCACCCCTAGACTCCGCACCCCCAGGCTCAGCTCCCGCAGCAGCACCAGAGTCACCAGTGACCTCGACAGGCTCGACCGCGTCTACCTGAGACACACCTGAAGGGGCAGGACCCTGAGGGGGGAGGGGGACTACTGGGGGGGGACCTGGTACCAAGAAGAGCGGGGGTGGGGGGAGGGACGGAGTGCGGTAGGGGAAGAGGCGGTAGTAGGGTACCGACTCGTCGAACGTGACGTCCTGGGAGGACAGAACACGTCGAGAGGTGGGGTGGTAAAACTGCCACCCAGGGGCGTCGGGGGGGAACCCGAGGAAGACGCAGGGAGAAGCACGAGGGGACAGCTTGTCCGCAGACAGGTCGCGAACAAACGCCCGAGATCCCCAGACCCGGAACGCCGACGCATCGCCAACCTTCCCCGTCCACAACAGAGCTGGGGAGGTCTCCGGTCGAGAGACCCCGGGGTGGAGGTTGATCTGGTGCGCAGCGTACCTGACCGCAAACGGCCACAGAAAATGGGGAGCAGCCGCATGCATCATGGACGTACGAGCGACGTCCATGACCATGCCAATGCGGCGCTCAGCGATCCCATTCTGCTGTGGTGAGTCCGGAAGCGTGAAGGTCTGACGGATGCCTCGCACACGACAGTAGGCACTCAGGAGGGCAGAGGAGAACTCTCCGCCTCTGTCCGAGTGCAGACGCAAGACAGGGAAGTCAGAGCCAAAGCTTCTCCGAAGCTGAAGACGAGCTGCGCGGATCCAGTCGATCAACACCTGAGTGACCTCACCCTTGCTGCGCAAGGGGAAGACTGTGGTGTAACGCGAGTAGTCGTCAACCACCAGCAGGAAGTAGCGCTCCTGACCCTGTCCACGGACGCGGGCTGGGCCCCACACGTCCATGTGAAGCGTCTGCAACGGGGCCTCTGTCGGAGGAAACTGGGAGGAGTGAGGGGCAGCACGCTGGCGCCCCTCGACACAGGGGACACAGGCAGGGCCAGGGCCCGGAGGAAGGGGAGGGAGGGACCGGGGAAGACCAGACACAAGGACCCGCGAGGCCATGCCTCTGAGCCGAAGCAGAGAGGGGTGGCCAAGGCGGTGGTGCCAGAGGAGGGTCTCGTGAGACAGACGACGACACGAACAAGGGGCAGACTCAGGACCAGACCTGGACGCTGCAGCAAACACCTGACCAGACGAAGGGGCCCTACCAGACGCAGTACCTGGAGGAGAAGCAGTGGTCAGTGTGTACAGGCTCGACCCCGGCCGACGTGTAAACGTAGCTAGGTGGCGACCTGTATCCGCCTCCGTACAGTGGGTCACCCGCTGACGAGCAGGGGTGAACTGGTGGACACCTGCATCCTGGAGGTCAGCACCACTCACCAAGTTCGTCGAGAACGAGGGGAGGTAGAGACCAGTCAGGGTGCCAGAGGGGGCCGCCGGACACGGGAGGACAGTGGAGAAGCGAGACAGGACAGGCCCCCCAGAGGGGTCCGCCAGGGACACCGCAACAGGCCGACTCAGCGGCGTGAGAGTGGTGCGGTCCCTAAAGAAGGAGCGAGACGCTCCAGAGTCAAGGGTGAAGGTGTGAGAGGCCGAAGCCGACACAGTACCTGAGAGGGCGGACTCACCAGTACCTGAAAGCACAGACGCACTGGCACCTAGAGCAGCAGCCTCACTAGTACCTGACGCGGCCGTACCAATGCCCGGGTCGGGCGGGAAACACCGGTAACAGTCATCCTCATCACTACCAGTCACAGCATACATAGCAGAGAGAATAGCATCAAAATCAAGATCATAAATAGCTACACCAGCCCTAGACAGCTCTCCCCAGCGGGGGATCTCAGCGGCCTCCGGAAACTGCTGACGCCAGGCGTCGGTCAGGCGGCCAAAGCAGCGACGGGCTGTGTGGGCGCCTCCACACCTCTCCCCTGCACGGTCACCAGTGCGAAGAACGTAGGGGCAGGGACCAAGCGCACCACCGCGCTGACGCTGCAAGTACCACTCACGGAGCTGC